GCAGGTTGAATGCCACCGGTACAGTATTTCTGCCACTAGATGGAGCCGAGGAGCGTAGGATACAGTCCTTGGGGCTGATGAATAAACATTCTGGCCATCGTATGACTGGGTGAATGCTGTTTGTATGGCATTCCTGCCACTAGATGAAGCTGAGGAGCATAGGATACACACCTTGGGGCTGATGAAAAAATGTTCCAGCCATCGTATACGGTAGGTGGTCGAATACCATTTTCACAGCATTCCTGTCTTTAGATCCCTATAGGGAGTTCTCTATGCTCCTCGGCTCCATTCAGTGGCAGGGATGGGAACAAATGGCATTCACCTAGCTATGTGCTGGGCAGAATGCATATACATCAGTCCCTTAGAGTCAAGAGCTGGTCTTACGCTAGCAATTTTTTAAAAATAATCTAGGGACCCCCTGTCACTTTTTAATTGCTCTTAAAAGCCATATACAATCGGTGCCAGGACTTCGAAATGTATTCGTTCAATACAACAGAGAAAACAGAATTATACACAAAGCTCATTGGTTCTAGTGAGGCTACTCGCATAAAGGAAGGTTCCCCCTTGGTGGGTACCCAGAATGCCATTAAAACATAACAGGAGAGCCAGACCAACTGGCGATTGTCCAATATGCCCAATATTATGGTTATGATGTCTCGCTGACTCTGGCGCTGTTTCATACATCAATGTACCCTGGTGATTCTGCCTTTGGGTCCATAAACTATATGTAATATTCAAGCCCTGATGAAGCTAGATGGTTCTGAACTCGCATTGGCTGTTTTACGTGATCATATGATGAAACTACTTGGACTCTTTCACCATCTGGTCTGACGCTCCTCTTACGTTGGGTTGATTTACCCTATTTGTCCTAATGACTGTTGTCACCAAGACAGAAAGTGACGGGAAATCCAAATTTTTACACTGATCACCAGAACAAAGGGTGAGGTTCATTCGTTTTTGTTCACTAGTGACCAACTTAGTAATTTTGTAGCATTTCATCTCTTTTTCCTATTGTGTCTCCAGGATAGGAAGTAAATGACAATCTCCCCAACAGGTCACAGGCAACAAAAAATAAACTGGCAGGACCTTCTCTACTCTATCTAAAGGGAAAAAAAGGTTTTGGCTATACATACACTTTAAAAGGAGAACTATGAGGGGGGTGCTTTTCACTCACCTCAGTTCTAGCCGACCTGTGACAATCAGACTGTCACAGGCTCAGTAGATCGGGAAGTGAGCGAACACATACCGACGTTCGCTCACCTCTCGATCCTGTCACGGCTCTCTGCCGTGACAGGGGAGGGGCTGGATTCCCCCTCCCCACTCCGATCCGCTAGCGCTGACTGGCGGAACGGACAGGGGCGGGTATAGTTGGCTCTGCCTCTAGATAGGCGGAGCCATCTGTCAGTCACACAGCTGGGCGGATCCCGGCACAATTGTCTGGATCCGCTTCAGCTGCGGCGTCTCAGTATACCGCGAGCTGTAGCTCCCTATATACTGAGCCTAGGGTGACGGGAGGACGCTAGTTTGTGTCCTCCCGTTACCCTAAGGAGAACTATGGGGAAAAGCCTTAACCCCATAGTTCTCCTTTAATGGCTGTATCAAATCAGGTGTTTCTTGTTTAGAAAAAGGCCCAATCAGTACATTTGTGACAAATTAGGATATTCACAGAAGCACTTGGGGCCGTTCATTCAGAATGACGCCCCAATGCACACATACTGTAGCTTCCAATGCACCCCCGTGCACTACAGTGCTCCACAATGCACATAGACAAAGTCGCATTGATCTGCACTGCCAGCCCATTCCAAATGAATAATCTGCTTAAATGCAACCTGCTCCAGTGCACAAAAAATACATTTGTTAACGCCTGCGCAAGCGTAAACGGCCTAAAGCATGTTATGGGGACAATTCGATCCAGAGACTTGGCTGGACTGTCTTTGTGGGGTCGGCCTATACTAGCTATAGCTGGTTTCTAGTTTGCTTTACCATGGACTCAAACTGTTTGGAGGGTTTATTGTAGTACGTTTCTATACTTTTTGGGGTTTTTTTTTTTACTTGAACTCCGGGACAAACAAATATTGTCTAAACACAAGAGCCAAGTGGATTCTTGCTTACAGTCTTTATAAAATTCATACAATGTATGAAGCCTGAGGAAGTGATCTAAGGAATCCTGAAGGATTGCATCTTTAATATTTTTATGGGTGCAAAACTCTACTAAACCCTATCAATGTCCTACTCATATTTGCCCCCTTATGGTCTGTTGAATGTCCCATTGAAAGTGGTTTGTTGTATCTGTTCCATAACTGTTGATTGTGCAAGAAATCCATTGAGCTGATAAGTTCCTGTGCTTTCTGCCTGTTCTGTACTCTTATCATTTATGAGAGATTCCAGTTCTACCAGTGGACCACAGAACACCCTCTCATCCCATGTTATGGAGATGAGGAAGCATTATGTAGCCCTAACACACTTTTACTCTTGAGTTTAGAAACACATTAAGTAAGGGTTGGACAAACCCCAGAAGCAAGCTAGCCAGGGGCCTTGGGGAAAAAAATGGCAACTTGTGTTGAACCTTTAAAGGAGAACTATGAGATGAGTGATTTCCACTCACCTCATAGTTCTAGCCGACCTGTGACAATGAGACTGTCACAGGTCGGCTCAGTAGATCGGGAGGTGAGGGAACACATACCGGCGTTCGCTCGCCTCTCGATCCTGTCACGGCTCTCTGCCATGACAGGGGAGGGGCTGGATTCCCTCCTCCCCGCTCTGATCCACCAGCGCTGACTGGCGGAACGGACGGGGGAGGGGGCGGGTACAGCTGGCTCTGCCTCTAGATAGGCAGAGCCAGCTGTCACTCACGCAGCTGGGCGGATCTCGACATCGATGCCGGGATCCGCTCCGGCTGCGGCGTCTCAGTATACCGCGACCTGTAGCTCGCGGTATACTGAGCTTAGGGTGACGGGAGGACGCTAGTTTGTGTCCTCCCGTTACCCTTAGGAGAACTATGGGTAAAAGCCCTGACCCCATAGTTCTCCTTTAAGAACCTTTTCCACGGTCAGTATTGGCACCTGCCCCGTAGAAGCACCTGTTCCTCAAGTGGACTATTCTGGCTCTTGGATTCTGATCTTATTTGTTCACCGCTGAGCTAAGTTCTTGGAAATTAACGTTTTTTTGACAACAAAGCCCTCACGGTGTTCAAGCTGGAAGTGAAAATCCTCAGAAAATAAACAGGTCTTTGATTTTCTTCCAAGTATGTGCGTGAGAATGTACCAAATGAATGGAGCTTGAGAAATGTCATGTGAGGGACATGGCCATACTTGGGGTCATTTTCTGGGTAATGACTCCCACAGGAACTGCTTTACAGCTGGTGTATCGCCAGGGTTGGTTCCTGTGCTAAACAGCAGGCCTTTAATAGTCTAGAATGTATTTCAGGTAATAAGGAGCCAGGTTAATTTGTTTCCCATAGAGACAGAGCTGCTACAACATTGCAACCAGCCACTCGGCATTCTAGGCTGTTGTGTTGGTAAAATGTTTTGATCCTCGGTCAATACTTACCATAATTTCAAGATGAGTGAGCAGAACTTTGAATGTTTTAGTTAATGGTGATCAAGTGACAGCTCTGGGGTAATCAAGCTCAACGTGACCCAGTTATGCTGTGCTGGAGTGTAACTGGGTCAGACAAACATAGGCATGCTATTGCTGTTGTTCATTTATATAGGATTGTCATCATGGCTTGGATAGGTAAGCACAGAGCATTTGTTCATTAACATAGGGTCCCTTCCCCCAAGGAACTTAAAGGGTAAGTCCACCCAAAATGGATATACTTTAGATGGATAACATCATGATGGTTCACTTACGTTCAGGGCCCGGTGGAGGACCCTTGTGACTCAAAGATGTGGGCCCACTCTGAGCACGCGTTATGAAGTTCATTTAAGTCTAAGTTACATAGTTACATAGTATTTGGGGTTGAATAAAGACATACGTCCATCAAGTCCAACCCATATAGGTCCACGCATCATCTCATTCTTAGGGATACTGGTATCCCTGGATATTATGGTCCCTCAAGAAATTGTCCAAAAGTTTCTTGAACAAATCTACACTCTTGGCTGAGATGACGGCCGATGGCAGTGAGTTCCAGACCTTAACCGCTCTTACTGTAAAGAACCCTCTTCGCCCATTGTGCTGGAATTTTTTCTCCACCAACTTTAGGTGGTGGCCTCTAGTCTTTGTAATGGAGTTAATCTCAAACATTTTTTTGCTAATGTTGCTGTCACCATTGAACATCTTGTACATGAGAATCATATCCCACCTTAAGGGGAGAGGACCAACCATGACTATTGATCATTCTGCATGAGTTATATGAGTGTATATGACCTGTATTACTGGGATGGAGATGGAACAGTGCAAATCCAGTGGGCAAGGACTGTTCCTGCCAAAATCAGTCAGTTTTGAGTAGATTTATCATTTAAACTTTAATTGAAAGGTTAAGATTGATCAACACCAGGAGAGGCAATTAGAGTTTTTGATGCAGAGCTCCATATACAGAGAGAGATGCCATACTCTCAACCCCTCATATTAACTGTCCCTGTGCCCTAACGCTAAACTTCCCTGGAACCCTTACAACTAATCTTTAAGCCTAAAATACATTGTGCTCCAATGAAAACTTAATGACGTGTTTCTCTAATAAGATAAAGTTTATTTTTATTTGGGTAAAAACATGACAAAAGCTGATCATATACTCAGACTTTAATTATGAAATATTGCTATTGGTAATTATGCTGATTGGCTACCCTGAAATTAATTAGAAAGTGAATTTGGCATGAGGTATCCCATAATATTTCAAGGTTTTTGTATTGCCGGGAATCAGTATCCTGCATGATATGCCGGTAGGTAGATGTAGAACATGACATTGTCTGCAGTTGATCTTAGACAGGAAGAAACAAGGAAAACCTTTCAGTGCTGCTTCCTTATGTTTTGACACAAAGTTTTTTTTTTTATTGTTGCAGGATATGACATCAACATGACAGTGAGAGCTGGCTGACATCCCTTCAAATGAGAGAACGTTTCCCTTGGTAACCCCAACGCCATCTAGAGACAGAAATCTCTTCATTATTTCTTCCCCTGGAGCGTCCCCTGTGAGCCTTCAAAACTGTTTCTCCAAAGAGTTTTGCAAAAATTAAGACTGTTTTCAAAAGCAGAAGCACCGCAGTCCACAACTGAAGTGATGGGCAGCGTGCGCACCAACCGTTACAGCGTTGTATCTTCAGAAGAGGACGGAATGAAGTTGGCTACCATGACAGTTGCCAACGGGTATGGCAACGGTAAGAGCAAAATACATACCCGGCAACAATGCCGGAGCCGATTTGTCAAGAAGGACGGCCACTGCAACGTTCAGTTCATCAACGTCAGTGAGAAGGGACAGCGTTACTTATCTGATATCTTCACCACCTGCGTGGACATTCGTTGGCGATGGATGCTGGTCATCTTTTGCCTAGCCTTCATCCTGTCTTGGCTTTTCTTCGGCTGTGTCTTCTGGTTGATCGCTTTACTCCACAACGATTTGGGAGCCGGAGATAATCACAAATCTTGTGTCACCGAGGTCAGAAGCTTCACGGCCGCTTTCCTGTTCTCCATCGAAACGCAGACAACCATCGGCTACGGATTCCGATGCGTCACGGACGAGTGCCCAGTGGCGGTGTTCATGGTGGTGTTCCAGTCTATCGTAGGTTGCATAATCGACGCCTTCATCATAGGCGCCGTTATGGCTAAGATGGCCAAGCCGAAAAAGAGAAATGAGACCTTGGTTTTCAGCGACACTGCGGTCATAGCCATGAGAGATGGAAAGCTGTGCTTGATGTGGAGAGTGGGCAACCTCCGCAAGAGCCATCTCGTTGAAGCTCACGTACGGGCTCAGCTGCTCAAGTCCCGCATCACATCCGAAGGGGAGTACATCCCGCTGGATCAAATAGATATTAACGTTGGCTTCGACAGTGGTATAGACAGAATATTCTTAGTCTCCCCCATTACAATAGTTCACGAAATGGACGAAGACAGTCCACTGTACGATTTGAGCAAACAGGACCTGGAAAATTCTGACTTTGAGATTGTGGTCATTCTGGAAGGTATGGTGGAGGCCACAGCCATGACCACGCAATGTCGGAGCTCCTACCTTGCTAATGAGATATACTGGGGTCATCGATACGAGCCCGTTCTCTTTGAAGAAAAGAGTTACTACAAAGTAGACTACTCCCGGTTCCACAAAACATACGAAGTGCCCAACACGCCGGTATGCAGCGCTAGGGACTTCGCGGAAAAGAAATACATCCTTTCTAATGCAAATACTTTCTGCTACGAGAACGAAGTGTCGCTCACGAGCAGAGAGGAGGAAGGCAGCGACAACGGTCTGCCAGATAGCATGAGCACGGACATGCATCCTGAAATGGACAATCACAATCAAGTTTCCCTCGATCCTAGACCTCTAAGGCGAGAATCTGAGATATGACTGAAAAACTTGTACCTACAGCTGGTCAAAATAGCTGGTCGGCAGCACCCGTTGCTAAGCAGGGGCCCAATGCAGTTTTCAGAGGTCGGTACCGTTGGACAGAGGTGAAACGGATCCAGCTCACGGAGCTGACGGGAAGCTTGGCAAGCGTAGGG